AAAGGAGCATATGCTTATATTTCTAGTGTTGATATAAGTGATTAAAAACTGCACCAGGGCAAATAGTGTGCTTGGCAGACCCTCTCTCAGCAGGCTTAGTAGTATTGAGTGAGGTATAGTATAGTATAGTATAGTATAGTATAGTATAGTATAGTATAGTATAGTATAGTATAGTATAGAGTGAAGCAAAGGTATGTTGGTCTAGTGTCCCTACATAATAGACTTTTAAGTTGTTATTAAATTGTTGAAAGTAAAAGTACATAGGACATGAATGACATTGCGTGACACTAAGAATAAAGTCATCAGCAGTATTTCCATCTCTGCTGCCTGCACTTCCTTACTGGTTCACACCACACTGGTTCTGTGGAGCAAATCTGAAATCTTGGATTTGCCAGACAGATTGCACTATTTCAATTATTTTGTTTTGAGAGATGGGTGCTTTTAAAAATTGATTCAACAATAGTAAGGCAATTAACAATCTTTATGAAAAATAATAGAAAAATGCAGTACTTGGGAAAGTCTGTTTTATTTTTTAAAACCACTTTATTGAGGTATGATCTATATATAAAAAGCTGTCCCTATTTAATGTATACTACTGGAGGAAGTAGAAGATAAGTATACACTGTGAAACCAGCACCACAATATGTACCTTAAATATATCCATTCCCTCCAAAAGCTTCCTCCCGTCCTTCTATTTGTTGCTATTGTTTTGTTTGATAAGAGCACTTAACATAAAATCTGCCCTCTTAGCAAGTTTTTAAGAAAAAAAAAAAACATTTTAATTTAGCAGTCTCTTCAGCATTAGCACATATGTAAGAAATAGTAAAATAGGCCAGGCGTGGTGGCTCATGCCTGTTATCTCAGCATTTTGGGAGGCCAAGGCTGGTGGATCACCTGCGGTCAGGAGTTCCATAACACCCTGGCCAACATGGCAAAACCCCGTCTCTACTAAAAATATGGAATTTAGCTGGGTGTGGTGACATGCACCTGTAGTCCCAGCTACTCAGGAGGCTGTGGCAGGAGAATCTCGTAAACATGGGAGGTGGACGTTGCGGTGAGCCGAGATCATGCCACTTCACTCCAGCCTGGCGACAGAGCGAGACTCCGTCTCAAAAAAAAAAAAAAGTAAAATGTAGTTAAGATTTCTCTGTTTTTATGTTTTGTTTTGAAATTTACTTGGCTACAAACAGCAAATTTTGAATAATGAATCATTAAATTTAAAAATCCTTATAATCATTTGCCTGAGACCATACCAACAATAAAGTTGAATCATTCCATTGCCAAAGAGCCACAGAAAAATGCTAATTTAATAAATTAAAGTGTTTTCTTACAATACATTGGAAATCAAGATTTAAATCCTTTCACTGTTTTAATAGAAATTAAGAACTATCATAAGGAAAAGTTTTCATATATGACAAGTTTCATATTATAATAGCCCGTTTGTTATTTTTATTTTTTATTTATTTATCTTTTTTTGAGACAGAGTTTCACTCTTGTGCCCAGGTTGTAGTGCAATGGTGTGATCTCGGCTCATTGCAACCTTGGCTTCCTGGGTTCAAGCAATTCTCCTGCTTCAGCCTCCCAAGTAACTGGGATGACAAGCACCCACCACCACGCCTAGCTAATGTTTTGTATTTTTTGTGGTGACAGGGTTTCATCACCTTGGCCAGGCTCATCTCGAACTCCTTACCTCAGGTCATGCATCCACCTCAGCCTTTCAAAGTGCTGGGATTACAGGCGTGAGCCACCATGCCCGACCTATGATAGTCAGTTGAAAAAAAACCAAAAAAATAAATGCCATTATCCTCATCGAAAATTAAAAACTTATTATCTAACTTAGCCTTTGTAAATCTTATTTACTGGAAGTCTTTTATTCAGAATATATTGTCAAAATATTCTACAAGATACTATATAATATACATAGAAAAATAATAGATGATATCAATATAAATATTACTTATATGAATATTTATTTTTACCTAGCAGGTTTGTTTTGCTGTGCATAATTCATCAAACGGAAAAGATGCTTCTTAGTTTAAAATATATTTTATGCCTAATATCTTTGTATTTCTTAGAGATTAAGTAACCTATCAGTAGCTATAGATGTGTTGTAAACATGTTAAACAAACAAGAAGAATCTTTCAAGAATCTTGTAATCTAAACTGATGATAACTTCATAGTTCTGTAATATCATAGCACATGAAAAGTGAACAATATGAATCATTCAGTTATCTTATCTGACTAGTAGAAAATGTCAGTATATTTACAAATCAAAAAGTTTACTGAATTTAAGTATAAACTTGCAGATACTGAGTTTTTAAAAATATAAAACTTGAAATTTTGGAGACCTGTGGGCATTACCAAAAGTTGTTTAAAAATTAATATACCTCCAGAGAATATATGTGAAATAAATTTCTTAACTTCCATATACAGAATCTCATTTTCAAACTTTTAAAGTTAGACACAGAATTTACAGCAGTAATAAAACATCTCCTTTGCCAGACATTGATGAGTTTTAATTGTTTAGTGTTTTTTTGTTGTTGCCGTTTTGCTTATACATACACATGTTCTTATAGAATAAGGTATTGAGTCAAAACACCTTAAACATTGACAGCTGACTGGGCAGCTCACGCCTGTACTCCCAGCACTTTGGGAGGCTGAGGTGGGCAGATCACGAGGTCAAGAGATTGAGACCATCCTGGCCAACATGGTGGAACTCCTGTCTCTACTAAAAATACAAAAAATTAGCTGGGCGTGGTGGCACACACCTGTAGTCCTAGCTACTTGGGAGGCTGAGGCAGGAGAATCGCTTGAACCTGGGAATCAGAGGTTGCAGTGAACCGAAATTGCGCTTCTGCACTCTGGCCTGGCAACAGAGCAAGACTCCGTCTAAAATAAAAATAAAAATAAAAATAAATAAAAAGTTGACAGCCTTGGCTAAGGGATAATATAAGAACATTTAATTCATTGTGCTTCCCAAACTGTGATTGCTAGGTCCATTTTTCTGTTATTAAAAACTAGTTGAAGCATGTTAAAGACAACTTAATATTTCATCAATACATTTTCCAGATCCTTATTAAAATATCTGTACCATTTTACATTTCCACTTGCTTGATTGACAATAATTCATTAAAATCAGTCTCTTAATATATGGTAAGCACTGTGCTAAGCACATTACAGTCATCTCATTTAAATCTTCATTAATCACACTATGAGATAGGTGCTATTGTTATTTCCAATTTTTACTAGGAAAATGGAGACTTGCCCTAGGCCCCACAACCTATAAAAGTTGAACAGCAATGCCAGTCAGGTTTGTCTGTCTCCCGAGTTCATCTTCTTAACCACTACACTGTTGGTTCATTTTGACTAATGCAATAGTTTAAAAAACAAAACAGAAACAACTTGTATTTGTTTGCACTTTTATTATTTTTTTAAACACATGTTTTTCTCCTTCGTGAACTTCTTTCTGGAATTGTCTTTTATTTATTTTAAAATTTGAATACTAATACTTTTCCTATTGTTTTGTTTGTATTCATTTATATTATCTATGTAATTATAAATATTTTCCCCGTTTTATTTTTTCTTAATTTTTATATAAGGAATTTTTAAATAGAAAAAAACCTATAGACATTTTTTCAGAACAGAATTTTCAAAAATCTCTGGGCCAGTTTTTTCATATATTTGAGGAGAGTTAAGGACATATACTCAGCTAATTGCTAATCTCTGAGTATAGCTTGAGAGGCAGTAGGTAAGATATATACTATACTAACATTGTAATATCAAATTTTTATTGGAACTTCCACAATTATGTGTTTTATGATAATCAGTGTTGTTGAATTAAAATTTTGCTTATTTGTGAGATTTACTTAGAATTAAGATATATAGCTGTCTTCCTCACTAAAACATAAGATCTAGAAGAAAAAATATATATATACATAAACTATGTCTAGATGTTGTGAAATATGCAGAGATATGGTACGTATTATGCTTGACTGTTTTTTCCCCAGTATTTTTTTTAAACCAGGAAAATACATAAATACAACAAAAATAAAAACCCATCATAATTTTGTTGGCTTTCTCTGCCCCATTCCAGTTTTGGAAACAATCTTGACCTAAATCCAGACAGATGGCCGAGGGTTGAATGTCACGTTTGCTTTGCTGTTGGTCTTGTTATGAACTAAGATTTTATTTTTTTCTATAATAAATGAAAGTGACAAGGTAATGCCAATACAAGGATGAGTAAATGTTTGACAAAATGAATTCCAAGGATACAATTCAAACATTTGTCAGGAGCCTGAGATAATTGCTTTTTGTTTTGTTACGCCTTTCCAATTTGTCCATAAATAAAAATATTTACAATTTAGGATTCACTCTGTCTCACAGGATAGGATATGTATGACCTTACAGATTTACAGAAAACTTATCTATGGGCCGGGCGCGGTGGCTCAAGCCTGTAATCCCAGCACTTTGGGAGGCCGAGACGGGCGGATCACAAGGTCAGGAGATTGAGACCATCCTGGCTAACCCGGTGAAACCCCGTCTCTACTAAAAAAAACACAAAAAACTAGCCAGGCGAGATGGCGGGCGCCTGTAGTCCCAGCCACTCCGGAGGAGGCTGAGGCAGGAGAATGGCGTGAACCTGGGAGGCGGAGCTTGCAGTGAGGTGAGATCCGGCCACTGCACTCCAGCCTGGGTGACAGAGCCAGACTCCGTCTCAAAAAAAAAAAAAAAAAAAAAAAAAAAACTTATCTATGTTAATACGAAGAAAAAAGAAGATGAAATAACCATGGTCTATTTCCAACCAACAGCAAACGTTCTCACACTCTTAACTCCTGCTTTTGTTTAGGAAAAGGATAGTATGAGTCATTATGAAAAACAGTCCCCCCCACACCTGTTTCCCCTACCCCTCTCACAACTCTCTAAGTGCACGTGTATGCGCATGTGTACACAAACGCACCCACACGCTGAGAATTCAGCCCAATAAATACAGGAGGGACAACTTTATAGAGATGGGTTTATTTAAGACAATGTATATAAACATTTTCTGCAAAATTCACTAAACTATAGAAAAGACAAACTCAAATGGGAGCAGTAAAGCATTTTTTAATGCTGTTTGTTTTTATTAGATTAAAAGCAAAAAAGTGATAATAAGATCCATAGGGGCTGTACGCTAACGGAAGATGAAGAACTGCTTTGTAATGTGAAATTTTGCCTTCACATTATATGACTTTAAGTGCACCAAGTTCTTTATATGGAAAACTGGTTTTCAACGGGATACCGGGCAAGCTGTAAAGATGATCTCACATTGCCAAATGGGCCTTCAGCTGCTTTTCTAATTGACTTTTCCACGGTTTGTTGCTTAGTGTTACACATACTAATGTGTCATCGTCATCCTAGACTAATCTGATTTTCAAGTCTCACCCTGCCTGTGTTTGTAGGTTTCAATCTTACAATTCCTCTGCTATTACCCTCCAAAATTGTTGAAACTGGCTACTTCTGTTGTTAGAAGCATGATATAGAAAGTATTGGTGCTCATAACTACGATACCTGACACATAAGTTTCCCAGTTGATACCAGTAAAGCCAAGAGACCCTAAGTCCAGTGTGTTTCTCAACAATTATTCAGTACAGGGAGAAACACTCCTAGTTGTTTCCTAGGCAACCATTTCATGAAAAATGTGCAGTTATATTTCATTTCATCCCATTTTCTATTTTTCTAGAACTGGCTAAATTTTCCCTTTATTTTCCAACATCCATTGCTCCTCACATTTCCCTTTATACATTATCTTTGGTATTTCTTCTTCTCTTGCCTTTCTCTCCTGTTCTTTCCTGCTATTAATTATCTAACTTTCTTTCCCTTAGGAATGAGATCAAAACAAATACTTGTCTTTAAAGTTGCCCTGTCAACTACCATCTGGTTACCGTTTTGTTCCTTTTTAGAAAATCAACAGTAGACCCTTCGTGAATGTGGGAATTCTATTCACTTTTGCTTCCAGGGCATGGTTGCGTCCCAGCTTATTAAGATGTAGAAGTCTTAGTGCTTTGGAATCTAATTTACACATCTGCCTGCTTTCTTGGAAGGCTGAGGGAATTCGAAATGCTGTTTCTTAAACAACACCAAAAACAAACAAAGAGAAAGAGCCAGAGAAATTTTCATCTGGGGAGAGATTCCTTTTGTCAGTAGATGGCCAGCAGAGTAAGTCAGATATTCAAGAAACACATCAAGTGTTCTGGGAGGGGAGTATTTGAATGCTAAGCAGCCATTTGTGTGGATCCAGGCTTCTTACAGCTTCCAGGTCTTGTTCTCTGATGTGGAGATCTTTTTGACAAGAGTAAGTTAGTTTTTGTTAGTTGCCACTCAATCCCGTTTATTGGCTAAGAGTAAAATAGAAAATAATTTATTTTATATAACTTAAGAAAAATACCAAGGTTTAATAGCACCCATCCCATTTCTTTACTACAGACACACACACACACAAAGCCTTTTAAGCTTCCCTGTTGCCTGCAGGATAAAGTCCAGGTGCCTTAGCCTGCTGTTCCTGGATCTCTAGAATCTACTCTGAGCCTCATTTCCAACCCTGTTTTTCTTGTCTCCCACCACTTTCTCTCTGCGCCTCAGTGCCAACCACCCCAGGCTGATTCTCTCGAAATACCAGTGTGCGCTTCTGCCATCTCTGAGCTTCTTCTCAATGTGAAGTACTCTCCCTTTCCCTGCCCATCTCTCTGTCCCATTTTTCTGGACCCACGTCCATCTTCCCTCTGTGTCCACAACCTGTAAGTGGCCCTCACTCAGGCCCTTGCTTGGCATGGCTCACGCTCACCATGTGTTTCCATGCACCGTCTCCCCCGTCATCGTTGTACATACCTGTACTCAGACAGGCAGCAGAAAGACAGCTACTGGTGGTTTCCTTTCTTCTCCTTTCTTTCTGGCCATCATTGCCAGAAGAACTCAGATATGGAAACTCCAGAAGCATCTAAGAATAGGGACTCGTTGGTGTGAGGAGAAACAGAAAGATTATTTCAAAGGGCAAAAATCTTAAGAAAAGGAGAACACCTTATGGTTCCCAGCCAGTCAGATGGGATGACTCATTATCCAGGATAATATGGTATAACACACATGTAACATAGTCAGACATGTGGCAGTATGGGGCTGCCTATTTCTATACCTTGGAGAAGCAGTGAGGGGGAGTGAGGACAGTTTCAGGAAGGCATTCAATAGAAAACTATGAAAGTAATTGAGTAAATGAACACAGCATTACTTTCTTTAGGGATTCTGATCATTTCTTTAATTAAAACTGAGAATGATATAATTCAGTTGTTGAATGTGCGATTGTAGATACTATATGCACAATACAGCCTGTTTTCTTTAGTTTGAAAACTAAACACAGAAAAAATAGAAAACAAATTAAAAAAGAAATATTAATTTAGTTGCAAGTTAAAATACAAATATTATTACTGATAATCCATTTTATTGTCTCAAAATTTCTCTTAAAATGAGTGCAAAATTCAGGGACTACAAGAATTAGCTAGAATTTAGAGGACTTTTCAATAAATTCACTTTGCATATAAGAAAACTGAAGTTCCAAGAAATAAAGGAACACTTGTATTGAAAAGAACCTGTGAATGGAAGAGAACCACTCTTTCTTTTTCTTTTGGATTTTCTGTCACTCTTGGTGACACAATCATCCAGTCACCGGACCTCATTTTCTGCTAATAGATAAAGTAACTAACAAGATATCTCTTTGGGTCTACACATTCCTCCTCCTGGCCAACCGCCTAAACATCTATTGCTATAGGGAAGCAGATGTTTTCATCAGAAGAGTGACATCATCCATTTCGTTAATTACCAGTAGACGACAAGCACCTGAGGAGGAGACCCAAGCGCTTCTTGACTGTGGTGTCAAAGGGGAAGACTTAGGAAGATGGCGCCCATGGAGGGCAGGCCTGTGCAGGAGGTGCCTGTGTAAGTTGCCTCAGAACCTTGTTGCTAAAACAGCACTCGTTCAAGGTGTAGAGCTCAGTGCACAGGAAGTGTGTCCTGTTCCTCCTCTATATTTAGTGTCTTTTTTTAAAATCCCAACCATGACAAGAGGCACCAGGAACCAAAATTATCCCTATGCTTAGACCAAAGACTTCAGAGGTTGTGCAGCATGGATCTACCCATGTAAGGGGAACCCCAGGGAAAAAAGAAGGTGGTGGGGATCAGAGCTCAATTCTGCACATGCTGAGTGCCCTTCAAACAGACTTTAAGAAGAGGCAGTCTTGTCTTTAAGCACACCCTCAACGTTAATGATCATCTTAACCTTTTAACTAATCTGTGCTTCAGTTTCCTCAGCTGTAAAAGGAGAACAAGAATAAATCCTGTGTCATGGGGTTGCTGTGAAAATTAAAAGAGTTAATATGGATAAAGCACTTAGAACAGTATTGCTGTATGTTTGCTCTCATTTGGGGAGATGATGTAGGTTAGTGATTAAAAGCCTGGATTCTGGAACCAACTTGCTTTGGTTTGAAGCTTGGCTTTACCATTTACTCATGTGAGCTTGGACAGTACCTCTCTGGTCCTATTTTCTCATATGTTGGCCTATTGTGAGAATTAAATAATCTCTGAAAGCACTGAGAACAGTTTTAATACATACTAAGGGTTAGTTGTTACTATCTGTCCCTTCCCCTTGTTAACTACCCACATGTGGCCTGTCACTGAATGTACGTTTTCCTGTAGAGCGAAAGCACTCCAGAGATTTCAGAAGCTGTGCTCAGAATCTCTCACCCTAATAGGACCACGCCAGGACTACCTGGCCAGCATCCCCTTTGTGCACTCAACTTTCCCACGTAACACACAGTGGGATTTGTGGAAAACAATCCCCCTATTTTCCTTCCTTCTCTTAGAAGTCCAGGAATAATAATCTTGTTAACCCCAATCCCTCCACTTCGGAGAAACCAATCTTTCTTCTAATTGGAAGGGGAACTATTAAGCAATAAGATGGTATTTTGAATTAAATCAAGAATAAAGCCACACATTCACATACCATTTACTTGAGTTCAAACTGCCAGGGCTCTTCCAACTCTAAAAGTCACAATTGAAAATAGTGCTTTAAACTTGAAAGACATCAAAGGTCTGTTTTGAACTGAAGCTTGTAGAGAACTCAGGATTGTTCGTAATTTGATTTGAATGAATAAAATGTTTCTGTATTGCTATTTTACATTTTTTCAAAAAAGATCCAGATGCCCCTGTTACACAGAAAAAGGAACTCTTTGTTAAACCTCAGAAAAAATGATAGACTTTATGTTCTTTTTATTTATTTATTTATTTTTATCTTTTTTTTTTTTTTAATTATACTTTAAGTTCTGGGATACATGTGCAGAACGTGCAGGTTTGTTACACGTGCCATGGTGGTTTGCTGCAGCCATCAACCCATCATCTAGGCTTTAAGCCCCACATGCATTAGGTATTTGTCCTAATGCTATTCCTCCCCTTACTCCCTATATATTCTGAAGAAGTGTATTTTTTTTTAATATATATTTAGGGGGTATGTATCGTTTTGTTACATGAATATATTGCCTAGTGGTGAAGTCTGGGCTTTCAGTGTAGCCAACACCTGAATAGTGTACATTGTACCCAACAGGTAATTTCTCATCTCACTCCCACCCCTTCCAAGTCTCCAATGTCTACGATTCCACTTTCTATGTCCGTATGTATGCATTATTTAGTTCCCACTTATTAGTGAGAACATGTTGTACTTAAGTAAAATAACTCAGACACTTTCTGAAGGCCTCCAGTTCTATTCATGTTGCTGCAAAAGATATGATTTTATTCTTTTTAGGGCTAAGCAGTATTCCATTGTATTGTACCACATTTGTTTTATCCAGTCATCTACTGATAGACGTAGGTTGATTCCTAATTTTTGCTAATATGAATAGTGCTATGATAAACGTACTGGTGCAGGTATCTTTTTAACATAATGATTTATTTTTCCTTTGGGAGAAGTATATTTTTAAGGTATATTAGAACACCTTCTTTTGGTACCTAAGAACATAGGGTATCCTGAAAAACCGGTAGCCACAGAATAGCAAACTGTTATAATTTTATTCTTCTTGTGTCTCTTGAAAAAATTGTGTTTGAAATACTGTAGTTTTGGTTGCTATTTTGTTTTGCAATACTTCTGACCAACACGTGTAGCAGAATTGGTAAAACAAACTGGAAACCTCAGGCATGCCTCAATTAAATTTTTTGTAGAGCCAGTGGGAGCAGAGCACCACCTAGTGTCAATTTTGAATAATTCTCTCAGATAAGAAAGACTGCCTAGGGTGAAAATAATTTACCCGAAGGAAGGTAGTCAATATAGATCAAATTTAGGTCAAAATCCTGGAACCAAATCCACATTTATTGACGATAGCCCCATGCTTTTTCTTCTATTGTTCTCCACAATTTTACATCAAAGAAAGGCAATATGTGAAAAGCAAATCCCTTCCACTAATGGAAATTCAATTTAGGTGACAAATATGTTATAAAACAGGACTATTTGAATATCGGGTATGCCTAAAGCACTATGAGAGCTCAATTCCAGAGTCAATTCCACAGACTCTAAGGTGAGGCAGGTTTTTTGTTTGTTTGTTTGTTCGTTTGTTTCAAATTTCTGGCTTTCTTATGGTTCCCCGAGGTCTCTGTAGCTACCCATCTGGCACTGCGGGCGCTTCTCTGCCATCAGCATTGCCAAAAATAATACAGCCTCTGAAATTTATCGCCGAGGAACAAATGAGACGATTTCACTTACCTATGTGGCTCTTCTCTAAGAATGTTCGCAGTTAGTTCATGCCAGATGCAGTTCGCGTCTCAGAATGTCTGTGTGCCGTCTTCACAGCCATGGTTAGCCCCAAGCGGAGTGTGAGCCGAGTCGAGGATGGGGAGCCTTTCTCCTCTGCCTCTCTTCCAGCTGCTACTTCCCACCCCAGAGAACCTCAGGCTTCTCACCAACTCTGCACTCCTTCAGGGCCCTACAAGTTAATGACAAATAAAATGACAACAATACCAACAGCTTGCCATATCAGATCATTTCTGGAATGAGGTAAAATATGAGTTAATGAAAGAGGAAAGCCAAATAAATAGACAAAATTGCTCTTTTGAGATATCAGTGCTCATGTTGGCTCATATGCTGTTCTTATACAACTTTTAAATTTCCCTAAGATTTTTCAGTAAATTCAGACAAATCTAATACACTCATGGATGAGCTGGTTTGGGGAGGAGGGGACGTTCGGTGAGAGAGAGGCTGTACACATCCAAGCTCTGAGAACCCTGTCCTAAGTCACTGTTGCACTTTCTTGTGTGAAGTCTCAAAGATACTCTCTGAATCCTTTTCTTCATCTGTAAAATTAAGAAACATTAACAACTATTTTATATGATTTTTTATGAAGATTCAAAAGGATCACTATGTGCTAAGTAATCACCAGTCACATGAAATTTGGCTATTTTATTTTATTTTATTTTATTTTATTTTATTTTATTTTTGAGATAGAGTCTCGCTCTGCCGCCCGGGCTGGAGTGCAGTGGCGCCATCTCCGCTCACTGCAAGCTCCGCCTCCCGGGTTCACGCCATTCTCCTGCCTCAGCCTCCCAGTACCTGGCACTACAGGCGCCGCCACCACGCCCGGCTGATTTTTCTGTGTTTCTAGTAGAGACGGGGTTTCACCGTGTTAGCCAGGATGGTCTCGATCTGCTGACCCCGCGACTCGCCCGCCTCAGCCTCCCAAAGTGCTGGGATTACAGGCGAGCGCCACCGCGCCCGGCCTATGATGATGATTTCTATTGATGTGTGCCCACTAAGAAATCCATTCTAGGATTTTAACAAGTAACAATACTACCCCAGTCCTTTGTTTGAGCCAATGCTTCCATTTTTTTAACTGGCTGCAGATTTTTAATGTTCTGAGAGTTGCCATCAATAACTTAAAAAAAAAAGGGGGGGGACTCATTCTGATTAATCAGTCCTGTATTTAGCCACGGAGGTGTTGCTAAGGGAAAAAAAAAGAGAGCAGAAGAATAGAAGGAAATCTATTCCGGCAAATAACACAGAAAAAAATCAACAGGTCTAGAACGTTCAGCTTAAAGTCTTTATCACCCTTTATGTTCTGGCAAATAATAATAATGCGAGTTTTTGCTAGTATGCCAGGCACTGCCCTTAATCAATTAGCAATATTCACTCACTTAATCCTCATAATAATTTATCATTTTACACATTGAAGAAATGGAAGCACAAGGAATAAAATAAACAAAATCATAAGAGGAAATGACAGATCTGTACTTTGAACTTGAGGGGTCAGGCTCCACAGACAGGGTAACAGATTAGCGAGCTTTGGTTACATCGTTTTTTAATTTTACTTTTTAATTAACAAATAATAATTATACATACTCATGGGGTACATAGTGATGTTTTGATACATACAATTTAGAGTGATCAGATCATGGTAATTTGCATATTCATCATCTCAAGCATTTGTCATTTCTTTGTGTTGAGAATGCTCAACATTCTCCTTCTAGCTATTTTATTTTATTTTGTTTTTATTTTTGTTTTCTGAGACAGAGTCTTGCTCTATTGCCCAGGCTGGAGTGCAGTGGCACAATCTCGGCCCACTGCAACCTCTGTCTCCTGGGTTCAAGTGATTCTCCTGCCTTAGCCTCCTGAGTAGCTAGGACAATAGCACCCACCACCACACCAAGCTAATTTTTTTTTTTACACCCAGCTAATTTTTGTATTTTCAGTAGAGACAGGGTTTCACCATGTTGGCCGGGCTGGTCTTGAACTCCTGACTTCGAGTGATCCACCCACCTTGCTCTCCCAAAGTGCTGGGATTACAGGTGTGAGCCACTGTGCCTGGCCCCTTCTAGCTATTTTAAATTATATATTATTATTAACTATAGTCATTCTACAGTGGCATAGAACACCAGAATTTTCATTTTCCTCTTGCTGCTCTCTATCCCCCCGTCCCTTGCCAAACATCTGCCCAAGTTGTCAAGCCACCTGAGGAAAACTAATGGTTTATTTTCTATTCTAAGTAGGGCACCTCTACTTATGCTCACTAACATTTTAAGAAGGTTCAAATCTTTTCTTCCCAGATCACAAAATATCTCTGGGTACATGACACAAAATAGATTCTTTTTGTTCTTTCTCCTTTATACAGAGTTAAGTTTTCAGACAGCTGCTTTCTAGCTTTATTGTCACCTTTTAGCCTCATTATCTGACAGTGTTAATTTAGACTTTATAGCTATTGACTAAAGCAAGTGCCTTGTACAAAGACAATGGCAAAATGGGCAAGGAGACTAATGACTCCCAAATAAATAGCTTTGGTAAAAGTGTCTACTTGCTATGACAAAATACCATAAGTTCCTCAAAATAGCTTGATTTTTTAAAAAGTTGGTAGGCAAATTCAGTGTTGTCTTTAAACTGCTTCTGACCTCTCATTCTCCTTTGTCTGGACTCCTCAGTAAAAATAAACCATTTTTGTTGGCACATATTCTCAGTTAACAAGCCTGATACATTGGGTAATACAAAATAGTGGAATATTTGTGTGTGCATTGTAGTGAATAAGTGATTTAGAATATGTATCGGTCAGAATATATGTAACTGGTAGCAATAATGAGGGACATGGCTTTACTTTTGGTTTTCTAAATGAGAAAAATACTGTAGAAATCTATGACCCAAGAACGATGTCACTTTATTTCTTCTACATTTTCATGGAACAAATTACTCATTTAAATACTGACTCAAGATTCTATTTTTTTGCAGTAACTGTCATCAAACACTAGTGAGTAGACTCATTGTTAAATGGTAATACTCATGGCCTGTCAGTCACCTATTAGCATGATGAAATTGGCATTCATGTGGTAATTACCATGAATTGTCTATTTCTACCATCCTGTTTTCTCCCAGCACCAAGCATTGGGGATCACGGAGTTTGTGAAGTCACAAAGAAAGGCAGAAGACAGACAAATAAACAAATAGAGCTTCCTACCACCTCCACTACCACAGTATTGGCAAGAGCATCTTGAATAAATATGACAATGATGATGATGATAGCTAATATTTACTGAATAATTATTCTTTGCCAGGCATTATTCAATTGTTTTGCATATACTATCTCATTTACTGCCTCCACCCACCCTATAAAGTATGCACTATTATTAAAACCATTCCACAGAGAATAAAACAGACTTAGAGACATGATGTAAGTTGCCCAGGATAAAGCAACTACTGAGTAGCAGAGCTAGAATTCAAACCTAGATAATCTGAATTTAAAATCCACATGCTTAACAGTTTAACTCTACTCCAAAGTGTCAGCATTGTTGACACACATGGCCGGGTAATCCTTGCTGTCAGGGCTGCCCTGCGGGACAGTAAGATGCTTAGCAGTGTAACGGTATCCCTGGCCTCTGCCTACTACATTACAGTAGCACCTTTTCTCCCTTGCTTTCCACCTCCAGTTGTGGCAGCCAAAAAGTCTCCAGACATTACCAAATGCCCTCTAGAGGTCAAAATTGCTTCCCCAGACATGCTGAAAACCACTGTTCCGCTCTAACCTCTCTTTATCTGATTATATAACCTCAGGTCATTAAATAACTTTTAGAAATACAATTTTAATGGCTGTGATAAATGTTATTGAATATTAAATAAGTGCTACACTTAAAATATTACTTTTGATTATTTAATAAGAAAAAACTATATTTAAAAACTTAAAGCAATCAGGTTCTTTGAGATCTACTCCTTTGGTGTATATAAGATATAAAGGTAAGCTCTGTCAATAAGTCAGAGGTGATTTATATTGCAAAAACTATTAGCTTCATTCTTTAAAATGTGTCACCATTTTTTACCCAGCCTACTTCTGAAGATAAAGTGAAGGAGACTTGTGTCAGTAACAAATCTCTTTAGCAGCAAAAGAGTTTATTCGGTTACTGTATACAGACGTGGCCTAAGTCAACAATCAAATAAAATATAACTGCATGCATATATTTCTGAAAATGAAAATAAATTAATCACTGACATTTTTAAAACTTCAGAATTCTATTATTTTTCTAAAATGTCTAATAAAACAGAATTTACTAACACTTTAGTTTTACTTTTGCTCCTTTTAAAATATATGTTTAGATACATATGTTTAAAGGATGTATTTTACTATTTCTACCAGCATCATTGACTAAATGCTTAAGTGCCTACTGCTATGTTAGCTACTTTAAAAAAATATAAAAATTAAGATCTGCATTCCTGAGGAAGGTATTTAAAAGCAAATCAGACATACACAAAAGCCCTAAGAATAAGAAAAGAGAGTGTAAAACCACTAGTATTTTCTATAATTCATATTAAAGTAAAACGCACACACACATACACATACCAAAGTTAAGGAAGATAGTAAAACTCATTTAATAGGCATGTTCCATATAACCATTTTGTTACAAATTTTGCATTTTCCACATGAAAAAAAATCACAGTAGGCACATATTAGAAGCAAAATATGTCAGGCAAAAATATCCTAAAGATGTTTCTGTTATCAAACTTTTACAATTTTTCCAAATCGTTTTTGAGGTTTGGGAAAAAATCTGGGGCATTTTTGGCTAAAAACAAACACTATCCATGTGAGTTTTGACGATTGTTCTTTCTCACCAAAAAAAAAAAAAGTCCATAATTTTCTACAAATTCCATGAAGTTTTAAATCAATGGTGTTTGATTTACATTTACCAAGAAATGATTTGCCCATCACCATGAAAATTGAATTAAAAATACATCAGGCTAAGTAAATCCAAAAGAGAACAGTGAATTTTGTTGGGCTTACAGACAATTGGTATGCATTTCTGTGATCATGTATTATTTTTAACCTTTTCCTTCGGTGCGATTTGGAAGTGACCTGCCTTTTAATAGCTTAGATTGGACATCATCATTGCAATCAAAGTGAGTAGCATCACAACACAATTATCTAATATACACATGCTGCTTAGGGTTGCAATGTTACCACAGTTACCACCAGATTAAATGTCTCAGGAAAACAGAACCACTAAGTCTTTCAACATGCGGAAATTCAGCACTCTTGACAGATTATGAGCCTTCATTTTTCTTCATTTTGAGGCTTTTCCAATTGGTCTTGTGTTGTTTCTTCATCTTTCTCTTTTGCATCTGAAAAAAAAAATTCCATTCATATGTAGAATATATTGAAATTTATTCTATATTATATTGGAATAAAACCATTGGTTTTTCCTTGGTCCACTGTCCATATTTTGTGCTCAATTCAGATATGGAAACTATACAAAGAAGACAGATATGAGTAGATTTGGGAATCTACCTTCTCCTGATCAACTGTCTCCTATTCTACAGAGTTATTAAGTGCCAGGCAGTCTTCTAGAGTATTCTCAGAGCCTCCATTTACAGATTACTAAAATGAAACACAAGCAGGTTAAGCGACTTGTCCAAAGTCAGAGACTAGTGAGTGACAGTCACAACTTGAGCTTGGGCCAACTGACTCCGTGGTCCATGTCCTTAGCCATTTCCCTATGCAGGATTGTACTCTCCCCAGCTTCTTCACACTTTCTACTCTCTTTGCGCTTTCTTAGGAGATAACCTCACTTTCTACTTCATAGGAAAAAAAATCAAAGCTATCAGACAGGAGCTCCCTCAACTTCCTGCCATTAAATGTCTAAAACTCTCTGTGATCTGTGCTTATTCTTTCTGCCTTCCCTCTTTTTACAATGGAAGATGCACTCGTCAGCACTGGCTATGTAATTTGTTGGTGCCCAGCGCAAAATGAAAATGCAGTACCCTTGTTCAAAAATAATGAAAAATTTAAAGACAGCAACAATAGAACATAAACCAAGTGCAAGTCTCCTCTAATCAAGGAGCCCTATGCAACCACCCTGGCTGCACAATTTTGGAGCTGACTCCTGGTGCTACTCCTGCTGTGCAGTCTAATACCTTCATGATCCCACATCCTATCCATTTTTGCTTCATCAAGAGGTTGACTCTAATAATCATCTACTGCTCTCCATTGTATCTGACTTTTCCTTTCTCCCAGCTCTGTCGTTCCTTCAATTCACTACCATCTTTAAACTAAAAAAGACCCTCTTTCAACTGTAAGTCTTCCACATCCTATCTTCTCTTTCATCCTTTAAGAAGTATCCCTCTTTTGTTGTCTCCATTTTTAAGTAAAACTATTTGAGTCTACTACTTCTACAAAACTGCTCCTACCAAGTCATCAATGGCATCTTTGAAATCTGATGGACTCTATTCAGTTCTTCAACTTTAATTCATCAAATATTTATTAAGCGTATACTATGTACAAGGCAATGAACAAAACATAAATCCTGGCTCTCAGGAAAAATCTGATGAGAAATATGGACAATAAACAAAATAAATAAAATGTGTGGTCAATCAGAAGTAAAAAGGGCTAATGAAGACATTAAAGCAGGAGTGGAAAATAGAAATTTTCAAGAAGTCTTGGGGCCTGGAGGATGCAATTCTAGAGAGAGTTAGCTGGGTATGCCTCACTAAGAAGGGGACATTTGAGTAAAGGCCTGAAAAGTTGAAGAAGAATTCTATATAGATAGCAGGGAGAAGAGCATTCCAAGCACAGAGAAAAGCAAGGCCAAAGACAATAAAACACAGGAAGGATTTGCAAATGGGACAGTGGTAGAGAAAATTAGAATGGAAAATGGAGTCACAGAGGTACCAAAAAAAACTAGATCTTGTGAGTGAAAAATGGCAGATTTATGAATCAATTTTGAAAGTAGAGCTGACAGTATTCACTGATAGATGAGATGGAGAATACAAGAAAAAGAAGGGAGATAAGGATGATTCCAATATTTTTGGCAATAATTTTGTTAACTGGAAGTATGAATTGCCACTCAGAGATGGGAAAATGCAGAAAGAGCTGTTGTTGGGAGACTATCTGGAGTTCGCTTTTATATCCATTAAGTTTGAGATTCCCATTAGATATCCAAGCAGAGATGCCAATTAGGCAATTGGTATATGAGTGTGCAGTTCAGGAGAGCTCCAGGTTGGAGATACAAATTTGTAAGTCATCAAAAGCACGATCATTATCCCAACGAGATCAGATTACATCACAAGTGACAGAGTGTTGATAGATATGATGTCCAAAGACCGAATTTTGATAACCTCCAATTTATTAAGAGTTAGGGGAGATGAGGAAAGTAAAGCTGAAGGAGGAGCAGCCAGGGAAGCAGGAAGAAAACTAGATGAGTGGAGTGTCCAGAAAGCCAAGGGAAGAGAAACGTTACAGGAAAGAGTGACAATCATCTGTGACTAAGAGATCATGCAAGAGGAGGGCTAAGAATGAACCACTGATATTAGCAGAGACAATGTCATTTGTCATCTTGAAATAGCAGTGGGGTGATGTGGTGAGGTGAAAATCTTATTAGGGTGAGAGAGAGAATGGGACGCAGAAGATTTGGAGCCACAGAAGCAGATAACTCTGTCAAGAAGTTTTGTTACAAAACAGAAATGGAGAACTAGGACAGTAGCTGGAGGGAGAAGTGGGATCAAGGGAGAATTTGTACCCCTAGCAATCATAATTGGTTGCCTTCTAATTAACATGGCAGGTGCTTAATAAGTGTGTATTGAAAGAAATCCCTTAGAAAAATAAGCTTGGTGGAAAATGGTACTCTATAACAGTATGAAATACAAAGAACTAAATTATTTGTATAGTAATCGAAGCTGCACTTGCCACCACAGATTCTAAGCAAGCTACACACAAAGCTTTATAGCTTTCAGAGAAGAGTTGTTAAATCTGCTATCTCAAGTTTGTCTAAGGAGCAGATAATAATATGAAGTCCCCTTAAGTTGTTATCTTTCTATGAAATGTACTAGGAAATCAAGGTAATAATTAGATGAAAAGTAACAGGATACCATTTGTTGTCAATCTAGTATCTTGCTCAGGATTATTAACTAAAATATAAAACATGATTTCAAATACCTCTTACAGTCTCATTTTTTGCTTTGTAATGTGAAAATGTTTAGAAATACATTGAAAGATGATTGCAGATAAAAAGAAACAATAATCTGCTCAAGAGGTTATGATTGCTGTCAACTTTGAATTGTGACGTTAATGAAAAGAAAACTTTTTGTATTGTGATGTTAATGAAAGGAAAAATATTTTTCATATATTATGAACTTCCTGGTTAACATTGTTATTCTTCAAGCTTCTGCACGTCAAGTGCTTTCAATGTAATTGAATATATTTTCAATATATTCTTTCAACATAATTTATCTGAGAGTGCAACATCAAACTTCCCTTTCAAGCCTGTTACTGTCATTTCAAATGTTAATAAGCTTTTTTGAACAGTTATTTATCTCACTTTTTTGATCATAATAAGAACTCTTGAGAAAGTAAGAAAACGTTGAGTTCTAGATTATCTGGCTTGATTCTGTTCTCTAGAAGCCTAGTTTGGAAAAACATTTCTCATATGTAGTAACACGTTACTTAATATAAAGATTGGCCGGGCGCAGTGGCTCACGCCTGTAATCCCAGCACTTTGGGAGGCCGAGGCGGGCGGATCACAAGGTCAGGAGATCGAGACCATGGTGAAACCCCGTCTCTACCAAAAAATAGAAAAAAATTAGCCGGGCGCAGTGGCGGGCGCCTGTAGTCCCAGCTACTCGGGAGGCTGAGGCAGGAGAATGGCGTGAACCCGGGAGGCGGAGCTTGCAGTGAGCCGAGATCGCGCCACTGCACTCCAGCCTGGGCGACAGAGCGAGACTCCGTCTCAAAAAAATAAATAAATAAATAAAATAAATAAATAAATATTACGTTCAGATCCTTATTATGTATCTTTTAGGTAATAAACCACTTTAACCGTTTACTAAATTAGGCTTTTCATTAATATACGTTTAACATAAATCAGATTATAATAGTCTATTTTTTTTACATTTTCTATTTCCATCCTTGTGTTCTGCTCTTCTTTGTATCAACTGTTTTTTCTACTCCTTGTCACATTTGTAGAGTGCTTCACAGAACAACAATTCTGCAAGGTGCTTCTTTAGAGATGGTCAAATAAATGAGACCAAAAAAATGCTGTATGTTCTATTTTTAGAAGGGTGTAGACACACTATTACTTTAAAGTTTCTGTAACAAAGGCTCTGAGAAGTCCTTGTCTAAAAAGGAAACATTCCGAGAAGTGTAAAAAGCCAATTATGTTGAAACCAGCAATTCCAAACTTATTTGACCACAGCACCCTTTTTATCTGGGTGACACATTAATACCCAAAAGAATTTCCATGAAGCATTTATAGAGAAAAGTTGGTATAATGGGAAAGATGAAGGCTTTGGAACGAGAAATTCTATTATCACTTAATTTTTGTGAGCTTGAGCAAGTCACTTAACCTGTTTGGGGTTAGTTATGGTAACATCTATATATCAAAAGAGTGGAGGCCTTCTAAGGCTCCCTCTTTCTTTCTCATATTCTGTATTTCCATTTGTACTGTAAAGGTAATCTACTTGTGTGGCTTGTGGGGTATGGGAGAATTTCATTTGCACTATTTTCTCCTCAATCATATAAAATAAATTTTGAAAATATACACTCAAGGCCAGGCGCGGTGGCTCATGCCTATAACCCCAGTACTTTGGGAGACCAAGTCGGGCAGATCACCTGAAGTCAGGAGTTTGAGACCAGCCTGCCCAACGTGGTGAAACTCCATCTCTACTAAAAATACAAATATTAGCGGCGTGTGGTGGTGGGCGCCTGTAATCCCAGCTGCTCAGAAGGCTGAGACAGGAGAATCACTTGAAACCAGGAGGCAGAGGTTGCAGTGAGCTGAGATGACACCATTGCACTCCAGCCTGGGAGACAAGAGTGCAACTCCGTCTCAAAAAAAAAAAAAAAAAAAAAAAAAAAAATACACTCAAATATTCAAAAATGTGTATCTCTGAATCTTTTTCCCTCTGGTCCACCAGACCTATATATCAAATTGCTTCATTGACTTGTCCATTTAGATGTCTCATAGGTATCCTAAACACAAAAATTTTCACTCCTCCAACTCTCAAAATTGCCCATCCTCTAGGCTAACACTTCTCAGTGTTATGGCACCAGCACCTGCCTGACTGCTCGAGGAGTTATCCCCCAATTCTCTTCCTCATCTCTGCCACATCCAATTCATCAGCAAGTCCTATTGATTCTGCCTACAAAACATATCCCAAATCCACTGACCTTTCTCCATCCCAGGATGCCACCCTCTGTCACCTCTTGTTCATATGTCATCAAATATCATTGATCTTTTTATCATGGTTATCAATTTATAAGGAATAGATTAAGACAGATTATGAACTGGGCAAACCTCAGGTTAATTTCATGCAGTATGCAGGACACTGGAAATCCTAGATTTCCTGCCACTTATGCATATTTATTTAAAAATTTAAAAATATAAACAAAAGAGGATAGACCTGAGGGAAATCTGCAGATCTTCCTCACCTCATAATTTGTATGTTTAAGTGAATAAATTATTGAAACCATAACATCTGAGATAGACTCCCGCTTTCAGTTTTCATTATCAATTGGAAAACATTCATTTTAAAATTCATAATATCTATGTTTAGCTAATGAGAAAAAGATAAACCTTCAAACTGCTTACTTGTAACTTTGTTAATAAAATATTATCTATGTCATCTACCTATGTAAGCCTATATCCTTTTGTGTATTTTTTCTACTCTTTAATTTTTCATTGACAAATAAAAATTATATATATTTATGTTGTTGTACAACATGATGTTCTGATAGATGCATACATTGTAGAGTGACTAAATCAAGCTAATTAACGTATTATTTACCTCACATACTTACGTGTGTGTGTATGTGTGGTGGGAACACTCAAAATCTACTCACTTGGCAATCTTCAAGTACACAATACATTGTTATTAACTATAGTCACCCTTTTGCTACAATAGATCTCCTGAACTTATTTCTCCTGTCTAATTTTAATTTTATATATTTTGACCATCATCTTCCTAATTTTCCTGGTAGCTACCATTCTACTCTCTGATTCTAGCTGTTTGTCTCTTTCAGATTCCATGAATAAGATCATGTGGTATTTGCCTTTCTGTGCCTGGCCTATTTCACTTTACAACATGCCTTCATCCTTTTGCGTAATCTTTAGCATCTGGTGTTATTTGTGAATTCATTTTTACCATTTTCAGTTTCTTAACTGATGCCTTTGACTTTATTTCAAAATGATATGAAGAAAAATATAAAAACAGTAACATATTCTTCCAGATCCTAGTCTCTCTAGTGACCAAAATAAAATGGAGAACACTGCTGACTCTCCCATAGTATATTTGTTCTCTTTTGCTTGATTAAGTAATGTCAGTTACATTAAGGTTTTGTGTATGTTGAAGGTGTATAAAATTTAATTAGGGTTTTTACACTAACAAGTAATTGCCTTCTCTACCTCACTAGTTTAGAACAGACTCCAACAGCAACATCATGTTCCTATGGTCATATTACATTTTCAAACTTAAAAGGCCAAGAACATTACATATATGTTTATTTCTTTCTTCCCTTATCTTTTCCATCTTTTCATTCTTCTTATTATATTTTACATTGAACTGTATGCTTTTTAATTCTCACCTATAGTGTCGCATATGAGAAATAGTGGCCTTTGGAAAAAGATGAGGTAATCATGGAACTGCAGGATCTGGTCACAGCTCCTGGCCTACAAGGTTATAACCATTTCATAGAGAATGAACCAGGAACATTTGAAACTTTACCAGGTAGTAAATAACCTCCTGAAGCAAAGAACCAAGAGCCTTCTTCTTGGGCTCCCAGGAATAGGCCAGATGTGAGCGGCTTCTGGTTCTCACTTGCTTTGTTGTCACCAAGAATAAATTCCCAAACATACTACTAGAGTTCACCTGAGAGTCTAAAACGGGGCACAAAAGGTGAGAAGTTTGCTAATGACTTGGAACAAAAATGATCTTTAATCTCTCTGAGTGTAGTTTTTAACTTTGATTCAGGGTTTTGTTGTTGTTTTTTTTAAATCTCCATAAGGGTTTTTAAATGAAAGGCACCTTTTAACACTTTATTGAAAGTATCCTTATATTCGTTTTCAGGAGACTAAATTGTGGAAGCTATATAAACTGTATGTAAACAATGGAGAGAGAGACCTAAGATTTCCCTTCATGGTGTGACAGCTCTACCTTTCTCTTAATGTCAAGAATGATCACCTTTTCTACAAAAATTCTCTTGAAAGAATCTCATCCCTACTTGAGAGTAAACTTCTTCCTAGATTTGAGAATTAAAGGGCTTGTGGCACACTACAGTGAAGCAGAAGCTTCCAAAGTGATTTGTCAATGAATGGCAGAAGAAAAATTACTTTATTTATGAATACTTCTCAATAAAATTGAAAGCTCATTGACAGAAAGATCATATTTGTTCACCTTTGTATTCCCAATTATTAGCTTTGTGCATGACTATAACTATACACATGCAATGAATAAATAAAACTCCAGTTTCTGCATACACAGCATGAGACAAAAAGATGAAATATTCTACTTTGGAAAAGGCTGAACATCCACTAAGCCTTAAACAAAAGCTGAGAGGTTTAAGTAAACAAATAAGGAAACTGAGCACTTTTAACTAGGTAAAAGAAAGACTGTCCAGAGAAAAGGACTGGTTAAGAAGGGACAAGTGCTGTTAATTGTAAGAGGATTTTGAGTATTACCTTCCTTCACGGAGAGAGCCTCCAGTTTGAGGGGTAAATCTGAGGTTCCGTCTGTGGCAGCTGAACTCTGGATGTCTGGTAAGGCATTCCGGCGGCCTGCCCTTGCTGAAGATGCAAAATTGGCGACCCCAGACTCCACATCAGTCATTTTTGATGAATCTGTCCTCATAGCAACATCTACAAATAGAATGTGCATATGAAGAAGATGAGCCTATTCAGAGCTAAATGTTCACCACAGTGGTTGAAAGGCATGGCTAGATCAAAAACACAACAGGCTTGAGAGTCTAATCATTGATCACAACCTTCATCAATGTCTACTGTTACGGTCCTGCAGCGTCCATTTGCACATTTGCTGAATAGAGCAGGAAGTCCTTAGTGTGAGCCAGATTGCTAAAAATAACCCCTGAGCCGAATGAGCCACTTGGATGCTTAAGGGTGCAGTAATCCCTTGCCTTTTGTTCTGCTTTTCTGTGGATGGATCAGCCAAACTAGGGCTTGGAAGGAAATGAAAACTGACTTTTTTGACCACTCCTGTAGAGACTCGGCCTGCCAGTATTTTCTTGTGGTGGTTGTTCAGGCTGAAACCAAATAACTATAATTTGTAGGGACCAAACAAAACACTCTTTTCCTACTTCTTAGAAATAAGAAATTCTACTTTATCTCAAAAGCTTTTTCCCTAGAGAGCACTGGATATTTTGATCTGTTCTGGTCTGAAACCTAATTTTCGATAAATTCATGTTAATGTTTGGAAAAGTAGGACCTATTTTAGGTTTTTTTTTAATCTTCAGGTCGACATGGTAATTATTAATTCTTTCCTAAGCACCCTTTGTCTCCCTAACAATTGTCTCTCTCTAAGAAAGAATTCTCAAGAGATCATTCACTATAGAGGGAGGAAGGTAACAGTTATTGCTTACTCTAAAATTGACCTTCTTTTTATGATGTTTTCTAATGAATCTCTCCTGAGAAGTCAACTCTGAAGAGCATCTTTAAAGCAGCAGCAGCAGCAAGCATTTTATTGAAAAGCTATTTAATGCTAGCCTCTCAGCTAGGCCTGAGAGTACAGACGTATGGTATACTTTCCATCTTTGGGAAACTTGCACTCTCAAAAGGGAGAGAAAATATATGCATGCAAAGATAGATACCCTAACATAGAATGCACTATGATACCCTAATATAGAATGCACTGAGGGATGGAGATGCTCATTTGTGACACCTAAAAAGGGCAGAAATATGTAAACCTTGGGCTACACAGAACAAATCCAACTTTTCATGGTAGTTGGAGGGAGTAACTTCAATTCAGGAAATGCTAAAAACTAAATGACACAGTCACAAAACATGGTGCATTTAACAATAGAAACACAACATCTTTGGTTCACAGAATCCAAGAAATGCAAATTGAGCTTAGCATGGTCCTTAGGAGTCCAGGAATAGTTCGGAATTGCCCAAAAAAGAGTCATTCTGTTAATTCCATAGATATTATTGTCTTTCCAGGAATCATGGGAAATTTGAGAACAGAGCTATGTTTTGAGATACAATTTTGGAATCCATCAGACTTTTAACTGCCTGGTATTTGGCAACTGTGGATAACATATAGATAACTTAGTGTACTGTAAAGAGCAATAGACTATTGGTCAAAAAGAATATGCTCCATTATAGACTTGTAAGGTGATATTGTTCAATCCATTTAATTTCTCTGAGTCACAGTTCCTCCCTTATATAACGGGCATAGCAATTAGCCTATGGATTCACAGGATGCTTGTGAAGCACTAATGACATAAAGAATAAATAAACTCTTTGTAACTATAAGGCATATGTTTCATTGTTGGCATCATTGTTCATATCTCACTAAGCGTTCTTTATTGTACCACCTTCTTGTGTATCCTCTTTAATCCTGACAAGAAGTATTTTCCTCTTGGGAAGACCTCTAGCATTTTCTAAGAGGAAAACCAGCATTTTTATTCAATACTACAAGAACATTTTTATATTATATTATTTAAACCTCCCAATAATCCCATGAGGTACTGAAGTATGACCCTTGTTTCGTGGATGCGGAAACTGGGGGTCAGAGAGGTTAAGCGACTCATTTAAAGTTGCACAGCTGCTAAGCCAGCACTCAGGCATGCAAACCCAGTTGCAGTTCACGCTGAAAGCAACACGATATGGATTATCACAAAATTGTCTCTTTGAATCCCCATAATGCACGTAGCCATATAAAGCTACTTTATATTCTGCCTTTATTATTTTTATATAGAGAAAATAGGGGGGAAAATGTGTCTGTGTGTATACATATATATATCTAAAAGTTTGTTAAAGTATGTATGTGTATATATATACACACACACGCACATATATATACACACACACACACATATATATATATAAAAAAATACCTGGACGATGGAATAATCTCTCTCTCTCTGAATATATATATATATATATATATATATACACACACACACACACACACACACACACACAACGGATGCATATAATTGGTTCCCCATCTTTTCACAGTGTTGCTCTCTAGTTTGTTTGGTTATCTTGTGAGCTCTCCTATGATACATTAATTTTGGTCAGATCTCTTCTCAACAGCTTGTAAGAAGTGGCTAGTTTGGAAGTAGACCCCATTTGCTGGCCTCCACTCTGTCCTCCACCAATTCACATCACATCAGAAACCACTATGACTGCAAGTATCTCTTCCTGTGTAACCGCAAAGAAGTTAACTTTGCTGGTCTTAAAGGAACAACTCCATGAATAACTGAATTCTTACTTGCCTGCTAGTCTAAAACCTTAAAATTAAATATGATAATAGTTTTTAAAATGTTAAGATATGTGATCTTAAATATTTAAATAAATGTATATATTTTATATAAAATAAAATGGGTAAACTTCTTCAGCAAGATGGGACATTTTAAACGAATATTGAGTTGAAATTTGTATATTGAAAAAGAAATTCTTTTTTTTAAATAATTTTTTTGGCTCGGCATGGTGGCTTATGCCTGTAATCCCAGCACTTTGGAAGGCCAAGGTGAGCAGATCATGAGGCCAGAACTTTGAGACCAGCCTGGCCAACATGGTGAAACCCTGTCTCTACTAAAAAATAAAAAATAAAAATAATAGTCAGGCATGGTGGCTCATACCTGTGATCCCAGCTACTTAGGTGGCTAAGGCAGGAGAATCTTTTAAACCCAATAGGTGGAGGTTGAAGTGAGCCAAGATTGCGCCACTGCACTCCAGTCTGGGCGATGGAGCAAGACTTTGTCTCAAAAAACAATAATAATAATTTACTTAACTTTTATTTTAGGTTCAAGGGTACATATGAAAGTTTGTTACATAGGTAAACTTGCGTCATGGGGATTTGCTGTACAGATTATTTTATCACCCAGGTATTAAGCCAAATACCTAATAGTTATCTTTTCTGCAGCTCTCCCTCCTCCCACCCTCCACCCTCAAGTGAACCCCAATGTCTGTTGCTAAAAAAGAATCTTCTAAAAAGTGGCCCTTTAGTGGGTGATCAGCATGAAAAAGAAATTCTGGGTTTCACGTTCATGTCAAGATCATTTTGCTGCTAGCTGGCTGCTATTTTGGAAGTTTTTGCTTTTGCCTTTATATTGTTATTTCAGACACAGGCTTTCTAATTAGTTCTATTTTGTAGATTGATGCTGGAAAATAAAATAATCACAAAACTATCTAAAAGTTTGCTAAAGTTGTATTCATTAACTACTATTTTAAGATTGAAAACAGAACTGGCCAAATAGGGAGGCTAAGTAACAAAACTGCTTTACTTCGGGGCTGTACTTGGCCATGGCAAACTCACATTTGGCACCATCTTCCTTTCAAAGTCTGCCACTGATACTGACTGACCAAGATGTCATGCTCCACCACAGGCAGACCAAAGAGCTAACCTCGCCCAGCAATGTGGGAAGATGGCACATTCTACCGAGAAAAGCTATTTTCCTGACCAAATGTGCCAATGGCCTAGAAACTGGTGGCAGGAACATTTGAATCCACAAGATGACTCTTAGTTGGCCTCTTTAAACTCCAAAGCAAAGAGATTTATTGTACCACTGGAGATAATCTGAAAGCTCATCAAGAAAAAAATATGAATAAACTATGTAATTTTGTTATGAAATGTTATACTACAATTTTAAAGAATGTATTAGATCCAATAACACACTGAAATAAAGCAAGTTTAAAAATTAATATTTATAGTGTGGGGGAAAAGGAGAGAATATTATGAATACAATGGAATCTCATCTTTATACAAATAATAAAAATTCTAGTTGGGAATGGAAGGTAGAACAAGGAAAATATTAACCTTTTTTTCTCTACCTCTTTACATATTTTGACTTGTACTAATGATACCTTTGTAATTTAAAAGAATTGAAACATCCACCTAGAAAAATTATGAATAAATAGACATTCAGCACAGAAAGGCTCTAAAAGTAACATTTTGAAAATTTAACCAAATAATAGCATATCCTTAAGAGAAAGCTTCTTCTTCCCCCAATAGCCATCTCTCATTTGTCTGTTGTTGGTTTTCTATACAACACTGATTGCATATGCTTGATTTTTTAAAAAGGGGTGATATACAAATAGAAAAGAGATGATTGCTCTCTTCAAATGCCTTGTGACATTTAAAATGTATAGCCCACACAAAGATGAGGAAATACTACAGAGAAAAATGACAGATTAACTTGAGGTTCTTTTAATTTTCTGGGCATAATTACGTTATGTTTGCTAACCAAGGCAGTTGACTCACTAGTAACTCTTCCTCTTTCTCTTCTATAGAATTAACAAAGGACTCTAGATGAGTGCTGCTTTGTCAACTGTGACTGCTTACAGAAGCTGGAACCATTTAGACATTTGGAGATTTCACAAAAGTCCTTGCAATCCCACAGCAAGGTAATGTGATTTACATTGCCTGAGACACACTTCTATCTCTATTGAAAATATACAATTTTCAGACTGTTTGACAAAAGACTATTACACAGTTATATATATATATATATACACACACACACACATGCCAGCATCTTTACAGTCTCTAAAATACTGAAAATGCAACACCAGCACAACTCAAGAGGACAAGATGTCCAAGATAAATGGAGCATTAAAGTCATATTAAAAAATCACCAGTCAGAACCCAGTGGGCCCCAAAGAGCCTGCTAAGAAAA